TTACTTGGATGTTCATGGATTATCGATTCAAAAGGAAGTTATTCGCTGCTAGCTTTTGTAGTGGTATCGTTGCAGGACTGGTCGTTATAACTCCGGGAGCTGGTTACGTTGATTCCTATGCCGCTGTTGCTTATGGCATAATAGGTGGTATGGTCTGTAATTTGGCTTCTAAAGTGAAATTGCGATTAAATTATGATGATACTATGGATGTCTTCGCTGTTCATGGTGTCGGCGGATTCATTGGAAATATTCTTACCAGTATTTTTGCGGATAAAGATATTGTTTTGCTTAGTGGTGATGAAATACCAGGTGGCGCTATAAATGGCAATTTTATTCAAATTCTTATACAATTATCAAGTTTTGCAGGAATGTTTTACTCTTTCGTCATAACTTTAATCATTCTTTACATTATGAAAACGATTATGAGAGTAGATCAAAATTTTGATTTACGGTTAACAAACAATGCTGAATTAGAGGGTACAGATAAAACTGAACACGGTGAATCAGCTTATTGTTTTGATGATTTATAATTGAGATGACGAAGCGGTTCGTATTTTTGCAATTAATGAACGACAAACATTAATTTTTAGCATCAAATATATAAAAAATAAAATTGACATTATTGGCGGCAGTTTACATCATTGTTTTATACCTGTTTTACTCTCTCATCCATGTAATAATTATTTGCACAAAGAAAAAAATTCCAAAATGCTGCCCGAGTTTATTCGTAATATCTCTATGTACGCGCATAACATTTCACTGATTGCAGAAATAGGAAATATTAAATAAAAACTTGTGAATATACGTTTCTGGTATACTGGGGGTTGCAACAAATCTAGATCGTTACATAAAAAAATAGTTTGGTTGGGCAATTCTTTTTTTGTTAAAATGTAGGATACGATACACAAAATTACAATCCAGCAAATATTCACAAACAATTTCTTATAAACGTCAAATGTACACCGTAAAAAAATTTGTTAAACAACACAAAATTTTGTTTCCTAAGGACATACTGTATTCCAAAATAAGCGATTTATCGCGTGGTACACTAGTTTAAAAAATAGCCACAGTTTGCATTACAAATAATGCAGAGATTTTTTTGCTGCCAAATAATATAGAATACTATGCTATATATACTGCTAGTATATCGATATAAATTATTTTTATCTTTTATAAATTGACAGTAAAGTTAACCTTTGACTTGGAAATAAAACTCGATAAGTTATTAGTATGGATGTACCAGTATCTGTAATTTTTTTTGGACGCACTGGAGAGGGAAAATCTACCCTCGCAAATATGATGATTCAAGCTGATCTTTGTTCTGATCGTTCTAGAAACTTATTCCCAATCGGTGATAGTGCAGTTGGAGAAACTTCTGAAGTAGAATTTAGTCAAAATAATATGTTTGAAGTATATGATACGATTGGGTTATGCGAGACATCCGAGGGAACAATCTCACATAATAAAGCTATCAAAAAGATTAGATATTATTTCTCAAGATTAGAATCACCGCTCAACTATATATGCTATGTTAAAAAGAAGGGCAAGTTCACCAAAGAAGATGAAAGCACATTTAAGGAATTTAAAAAAATTTTCAAGGGGGGGGGAAAATAATTTTGTCATCATTCTTACTGATAGCACTCCAGAATGGGCTCATGCTAACGTAAAAGCAATTCGAAAATGTTTTGGAAATCATCCAATCATTGCAGTTGATTTTCCCTTTAACGATCGTTATGGTGTCGAGATTCAACAAGAAATAAGGAAACAAAATCGAGAACATCTAATAAATTCTTTATTATATCTAAGGTATAATTACGTCAAGTTAGAGATTCTTGAGTATACAACGGAGCTTGAGTCAAAAGTGGCAAAAATTGTTGATTTTGTGCCATTAGTTGGTACTGCTTATAAACTAATCTCATCTGGTGTATATTTTGTATTAAGGAAACCAAATTTAGCAAAGAGGCGATTAATGGAAGGAACTAGTGATCTCTCTAAGATTCTCTCTAAGCTTGCTGTGAAACTGTTAACTAAGTCTTGAATGCAAATTGCTCAGATTTGAGATTATTGATATCGGACTTAAGTTTTTATATGATTACTTTTAGTATTTCTATTTGGGGTTTAATAAAATTTGAACATATCTATTGTATAAGTTTTATATTTAACAAGGTTCTGAGATATAATAAAAGGCTTGAGAATTTGCAGATAAGTTTTATTTTAATGTATTGCAAATAATTTTACAACTTGCCGGTTTTACCATGTGGAATTTGTGCTGTTTTTTTTTTTTTTAAAAGCACATACGTGGTATTTTTAATTTTTATATATACTTTTGGAATTATAATAAGAACCGGATTTAGATACACGACTAAGTCTAATTATGCACGTATATTTTACGCAACATAAATTTTACACTATATACAGTAAATTGTAAACCAAAATTTTTAGAATATGCTACATAAAAAAAATATCAAACTTGTTTTAGCGATGCGAACCGTAAATTGAACAGAATATATAGGTGTTCAGCATTAATGAAATAACTGCAACCATATGATTGAAAATAGCAACAACCAAAATAATGAAGATATCGTCATTTTTACGAAACTTAAATTCTTTTGACGATTTATTAACAATTCCTTATTTTGTATCGTTATCATTTTAATTAACATTTGCCAATTAAATAAGGTTAAACTTAATTGAATTCATCTCTCTTTATTTTCGCTTTTGTGAATAAACAAATCTAGTAATGGCTTTAAAATTAAAAATTAGAAAAGCGTAATTGAAATATATATCCAGGTATCCATTAAACTTTAAATAGGAAAAAGGATAACGAATCGCATCTCTACTTATAACTATGTCAGATATTTTTATAAATAGAGAAATTTTAAAATATCAAATTGTTGAAAATGAAACCTGATTTTAAAAAGCATATTGATGCAAACAAGACTAGTTTAATAGCGAAAATATGTGAATGTTCTGAAAATATAGTTAAAAATGCTCACAAAATTGAAACCAAACCATTCTATAAAGATTTATATGAAAAATTAATAAATAAATATTGTTCTTTATATAATTCCTTATATTATGAAGCTAAAGTAATTAAAGGAATTGAATTTTACGTGGACGAATTTAATAACATAAAACATCAAGCCAATATGACTTATAAACTTGAAACCAAATCATATTATGAATATTTATATAAAGAATTATCAAAAAGATATTCTTTATTACTTGATGAAATTGGGGCAACTAAATTATATTTCAATCATCAGAAAAAAACAAATTCCAATTCACTTTTTCAATTATTATGTTGATAATGGGCCGGGGTTATCTTAATGCCGGCCAAATTAAACGTTTAAACGGTCAAATGATTAAAACGATTAAGAAAATCTTTAGGCGGTTCCAATCCCTACTAGTAAGACATTGTGTACTGTAACACACATACTGTGCACAGGTGTGGGTTATATCACAGTTTTACAGTGCACCGTTTCTCTTGGCAGCACTTATGTCATTTTCGCAAACATAGAAAAAAAATTGTTTAATGTCATTTAATATCAAAATATGTATGGTTTCACGATTTATATTTTCATTTTTCTCTTAAAAATTGTCTCTTATGCAAATTTTGTCCCTGCCGGAAGATATTGGCATGTCGCAGTCCTTTATGATAAAAAGATTTATTTTAGTGGTGGAAAGCACCACCAAAACCCCAATGATATTTACGAATTTGCCAATGAATTTTTCTACCTAGATGTTTCTAAATCATTTACGACAACTAACAATGCATCAATACCATGGATTAACCTTACTTATACTGTTGGTCCTGGAAAAGAAAAGGCAGCAGCTTGTATTGGTGGTATTAATGATGATGAGATCTTTATTATTGGTGGCAATTCTAGTAATTCCAGTTCTCCAGAAAAGTTTATTAATAAATTTGATATAAACAAGCAACAATGGAATAATGTTACATTTAGTGGAAGCACCCCTGATTTTACCATTCATGATATTTCATGCGCAAAAATCAATAAGACGATTGCCATTTTTAGTGGAAATTATAACATGTCGAATGTTCTTTGGATATTCGATACTATTACTTACTTGTGGAGTTCAATTACTGCAAACGATGCACCACAAGGCCGATGCTGTTATTGTGTAATTTCTTTACCGGATGGGAATCTCTTATATATTGGTGAAGTTAGCAATACGGTTCACTCTCAAACTTTTCAAATGAATTCAGTAAATATTATCATTTGTTAAATGTCTTTATACATATTTTATTTACTTATATATATGATTGTTTGTAGTTGCCACTTTATAATGTAGCCGCTCATAGATGGGAAAACCAGGTATGTTATAAACAAACAATAGATAATCTTTTTGGCATTAAACCCAACATTATTATTTCAGGCAACTTCAGGTTCTACTCCTTCTCCTCGTGCATATTCCTCAGCAGTGTTAAGTGCGAAAATTTACTGTATATTTAAAATATATGTAATACAGTATTAGATTTTTCTATTAATTAAGTTACATCAATACAGCGTCTGATGGGCGTATCATAATATATGGTGGCGATATTAATGGTCAATTTGTTGGTGATCTGTATATTTTGGATATATTCACTTATCAATGGTCAAGAGGAAACATTTCAAATCAGGAAAATGGTCCGAATAATATCAGCCGTCATACCGCAACATTGATAAATAATTATATGATTGTTGCTTTTAGTAAATATTTCCCGCTTTATAATGTTTAACTCTATACAAATTATTTAAACATATTCAATATTCATTTTAATTTGATAGGTAGAGACGATAAGGGAAATTATATTACAAATTTATTTTTACTAGATATAAGCGATAAAAATTCTTATAGATGGGTTACTGAATTTAATCCAAATAGCACAATTCCAAATAATACACAAATTACTCCAGACTCTAAAAATATTGGCGTAATTATCTGGGCGGTCATTGGTAGCGTCATTTTAGTAATATTTGTTATTACTATTTACAAAAAAATCCTCAAACCAACAAATATTAGAACTAGCAACAGCAATGACAACATCATTGAACCCAACAATAATATTATTAATCCAAACAACAATAACAATACCATCAATAACTGTCCAAACATTTCAGACATGGAGGATGAGAATGTTCTGAATTGCGGTGATGCAGAAAAACCAATAAATCAATATTCGGAGCTGTTAGAATCATATTTAAAAAAATACATTGTGAAATGTTTTGATTATTCAAAATTTAGTGACCCCATATATATTGGGCATGGTGGGTTTGCAACAGTACACTCAACTGTCTTTGAAGGGAACAAATATGCATTAAAAAAATTGAACAATAATTGGTGTATAAATAAAAAAGCATTCAATCAATTAAAGTGCGAGCTTAAAATTCTTTATAATGTTAAGCATCCAAATATTATTAAATTTCATGGAGTTTCAAGAGAGCAAATATCAAGTGATTTTATGATAGTGTTACAACTTGCAAGTGATGGTAGTCTATGAGATTATTTGCGAAAAAAAATAAGGAACTCTCTTTACAAAATTTCATGGGTTGAACTTGTTCAAATTTCAAAAGATGTTACCATAGGGTTGAAATATTTGCACTCTAAAAAAATTCTTCATCGAGATCTGCATTCTAAGAATATTTTATTTCATGAAGGAAAGGCCTTAATTACTGATTTTGGGATATCAAAGCTATTGGATGATACATCAAAATATTCTTCAAGTTCAATAGTAGCGGGCATGCCAGCATATATTGAACCACAACTCTGCCATAATGAAAATTTTAAACTTAATGAAAAATCAGATATATATAGCCTAGGCGTATTATTCTGGGAGCTTACAAGTGGAATTCCACCATTTAACAATATTGACAAATTTACGATAATTGCAAAACTTGTAAAAGATGAAAGAGAAAAGGATATTACCTGCACACCTGCAGCTTATATCGAACTTTACAAGAAATGCTGGTCTACAAATCCTGACGAGCGTCCAATCATAAATGATGTTTTAAAAGAACTTGAGATGCTAGGAAAAACATCTATTACTTTCATTACAAATAGAATTCCTGATAGTTAACCAATCTTTACAAAAATTTTGTCTTTCTTAATACTATTGATAAGTATCAACAAAAAATAAATTATTGTGATAAGCATTAAATGTGCTAATAACCATTATCAATAATTGTCGCAGCTGATGCTGAAAAACGGTTGATAGTGAAATTTGGGGTCGTGATTTAAAAATATAAGCACTACTAAAATCCACATATACTCTTTAATTATCCATTCCAACCCTAAACACTTACTTAACTATAAAAAAAAAAACGAAGAAAAAATACCCCAAAATTTTTTTAAAAATTCATATCAAAATAGGTTCAAATTTCAGCATCAGCTGCGACAATAATTGTTATAGAACTTATTATTATATAAACTCCAAGAACCTTATTTATCAATAACCGTAGCAATTGCAGCTGAACCCCCAGTCATAAAACCTTATACAAGCATGTGTGCGATAAAATGAAATCGATGAAATCGATATTTAAATTCGATTTCTGCCCAAAATTTATATTCTAATTGTGCGCAAATTTATATTCAATCTCTGCCCAAATTTGTAATCCAGCTTTGCCTATGTTAAACCCAAAATTTATATTAGATTTCTGCCCAAATTTATGATCTAATTCCATAAAGGTCGTCTGAACATTCATTAATCTTTAATTTTTTTAATCTAATTAATGAATTCTTTTACCATGTGCTAAAAAATATATACAGTATACGAGAACTCGATAAAATTAGTACAAATGATTCCACAACATCGATGATTTACAAGAAGTACAAAAATAAGAACTAATTTAAAATTCATTAATTGAAACAGACTATTTTATTGTGAAAATTGTATGTTATCAATAATTGATATTTATAACTACAGTATTAGTTATATAATTAAATAGTAGGAAATTTTTTTTCAAGAAAATGTACATGTGTATTATTTACTTAAATGAAAGTTTTTGATTTTGTTATAAATTATATACAGTCACGCCCTCTAAGTGCATTTATAGAGAGTAAAATATATAGAGCTCTTATAAGTTTGACCAAACTGAATCGTGCATTAAAGAGGTTTTACATAGTACTTGCACTTAGGGGTGTGCGACTGTACTAATATGTTATACAAATATGCCTAAAGCAAAAATTTTTTATATTATAATTCTAATTTGTTATGCTAATACATATTTTTTTTATTACTATTCTAGTTAATTTATTTTTTAAGGAAAAGATCTAAAGTAGCTAACTTATTGTTTTTGCAGTGAACATTAGCTAAAACGTCACTTACATTGGAGCCAAACTGATTATTTGAAAGATTCAAATAAATTAAACTGTTGTTTTTGATATATCATCGTAAAGCAGGCTGGCTTTAGTTTAATGCCGGCCAGAATAAATTTAGCCGGCATTAAGGTTATTAAAGAATTAATTTTACCTTACATGGTAACTTAAAATGTAACTTAATTTTAAAAATAACTTGCAGTAAGTTAACAACCTCAATTTTGCATGAATTTATAATTTGATTTTGCCTGGAGTTATACCCGGGACTATACTTTCAAAAAAATCATTATAATGTAAGAAACTAGTTTAACTGTTTTATTTTTAAGTTTTCATTTTTCTACATGAATATAAAAGAAAAAAAAATAAAAATGGTTTATTTAATTTATTTATTTTGATTTTTTGGCGTTCTGTTTTTATTTAAAATAGGAATGTTCTCTTTGGGCATCAATCTTCTTTTATTTCTTATATTTTCACTATGAAGATTTCTGATAATTTCTTCTGTTTTCTTTAGTTTTAACTGTAATTTTAAAGTTTAATATTATTCAAAATTTAAAAGTCACATTTTATTAAAAGCTCTACATACTTCAAGTTCTTTAAGAACACAGTAAATGTCTTCAAATAAATAACTATTATCCTCCTCTGATGGAACCATACAAGAGTCAATTCTACCAAAAAGATAAATTCCTTCAAACCAAGACATTGCATAAAAATTTATTTCAAGTTCTAAAAATATTTACTTTAGTAGTAGCACTTATAAAGTATGTCAGATATAACAATATTGGCATATCGGCGCGATTGCATCGCTATATATAATAAGCGATGGAAAGAATTTGACTTTGAATTGTATCTTTTTTTGCACCCAACTTACCGTGGTATTTAGAGTCAATATGTACAGTTCACTTTATTTTTTTTATTTTTATTTTTTTATAACAGGGAAGTTGGAATATATAAGAATTATGTTCTCAGAAAGGCAATAAAAATATGGAAGCAAATACAGTCAGATCTCGATATAATCACCAGGTTGGGAGCAAAATTTTGGTGATTATAAAAAGGTGTGACTATAAAAAGTCAAATTTTATAAGTTTTATAATAGCTAGGTCTAAAAAATAGCGTGATTATAACAAGGTTGTGTTATATTGAGAGTGACTATATCGAGGTCTGACTGTAGGTAGAGGAAATATAAGTGCTTTCATTTTGAAATCTCAAATGAATTTATACAGAAATCGCAAGATTCCCTTTGAAGAAGAATTTACTCCATCTACTGATACAGTTACTGATTGGTGGCTATCTGTAGAACTTAAAAAAAAATGAAAATCATATAAAAACCCTCGCCCTAAAAGTACATTCAATTTTATCTCATAATGCTGCCTGTGAGCGAATCTTCAGTGTATTAAACTGGTATCTTGGGAAATGACGGACTAGGTATGTTAATTTTTTTCTCTTTTTATTGTATTGAACGTCTAGAGGTTATGGCCCAGATGCACTCATTTTTAGTTGAGAATGCTAATGTTGCCAATTCACAAATAAGAATAAAAAGGAAAATAGAGAAATTTGAGATTAACTTATCAACGAAAGAAAAAAGGTTTTTTTCTATATTATTCACAATAAAGTTTTCTTCAACCAAAAAGCTTATTCGCGTTATTTAGTATCTTATTTTCATTTATTATTTTTTGGTCTACGTCGATGGCCCCTTTAATTGGTTTTCTGCGCTTTTTGTTCAGTAATATTATTATTATTAAAAATATTAATAATATTACAGTTGCAGATATTATTCCTCCTATGATTATGTAGTCCATTCGCGGATTTGTTTCTCGTTTCAGTAATTTCGTCTGCTAAGTTAAATTTGACTATTTTTAAGTGTTTTAGGATTACGTGAGTACAAGTCTTTGGCGAAAAATTGATATTTGTTTATTTGAACACTGCAGAAGAGAAGATAATAAATGATGTAATTTATTAGATTTTGATTTAAAGGATCATATGCAGTATTTAGTATTTTATAATTGAAAATACAATAGTGGATTTTATTTAAACTATTGATTTTATCTTATACTTTTAAACGAAAACCTTTCTATTTCTAATTAAACTTTTTTAATGCAAAACAAAAGAATTTTGAAATATCCGATTTAAATTATATAATTATAATTTGTATTGTATTTTAAATTGAAATTTAATCAGATATTATACACGTATTGTGCACCTATAACAAAAATTTAAAACCTTTGAGTATTTAGATTATAACTTGCCAGACTTGGCGTATTGATAGAAATGTATGTTTTGCAAATAAAAAGTTTAAATAAAAGAATAATTTCTACAAATTAATTAAAATTGATTTCCATTGACGGCAGAAATTATTAAAATTTAAAAAATATATAAACTTTTTTTTTGCCAATTTTACCATTGATGATGCCAACTTATTTATAAATATTTTCTTAGTTTTTAATATTTCTTAATTTTTCAATTAATAATTCTTAAGCGCAGACGATTAGGTCGGTAGAATGTTAAGTCAATTGAGTTATATTGCATGACTACAGACAGATATAAATAAGTCAATTTTTTGGTTTTTACAAAAAACAATTTTAGTCACGTTTTTCATACGTAGACAATACAAAAAAAATTTTAGAGTCGCAGACTTCTGGACAGGAATAGCCCATTAAATTCACTTCGTAAATATTCGTCGGTTTAAAATAACTGTGAATTATTTATATTATCTGTTCAATATTCAGTTCACGTTTCTATGCTGAAATAAATTGTGAATGGATTTATTATGAATTGCGCGGTATCTGCACAATAAATTTTAAACACTGTTTAATAGAATTATTATCAGCATGCTTTTCTTTTATACTTTAAAATTTCTTTGTATATGACTTCTCCTTTTGCATTTTTTATCTCATCAAAATTTCTTGCTACTGGTAGCTTTGTTTTTTTCTTAATTTCTCATGTTAGAATAATTTTTCTTATCTAAAATCTTGAGCAAAGAGCTATGTTAATTTTGTATTTAAATAATTGTGATTGATATAGAGATTTGCTATCCCAACAAAAATGACTTGATGAGATTTTGACCACCATTATAATTTATTTAACGTGTGCATTTGCTTGTTAATCTTGTAAATACTTAAACAAGTTTAAAATTGAACAGAAAAGTTATCTATATACTGTAATAATTTAGCATCCAACTTTGACAAATCATGTGTAATTTTAGTTGACTCAACAGATTATTATATATATGTTGTGCTTTTGTTACCATAACGATACAGAAATATCTTCTATACATACGAATAAAGTAGGTTATATAATGTTTGTGATAAACTTAAACTTTCTGAAGCATTTAAATTTCACAATGAACGTAAATTTAAAGAGGTCTGGGAAAACTTTTATGAACTTGCAAACGAATCTCAATAAACCAAGAAGCTAAGTTTATGATTGTGTATTACCTGTTATTTATACGAAAAAATAATAAAAAAAAAGATTTTATTTCTAAGCTCATTGATGATGTTAAACAACATATTGATCATAATTTCAAAAAGAATTATAAACCTCTTGTTAAAATTAAACCCTATATAAGAAATAAACCATAATTAAATTTCATTTATGAAAAATAATTATTTTTTTTAATAATTATTTTTTTAATATAACGGATGATATTTGAATTTTTTACTTTTTACTACTAAATTCAATACAGTACATGCAATAGCTAAAATTATTCAATTATTCAAAATTCTATATATTTTTACTCTTTTAAGTTAATTAGCATCGCTAAATTAAATAATTTTTGATCATTAAATCTCTTTCTTAATAACAAAAAAATAAATACAATAATTAATTCTAAATTTTTCAATTAAGTTATTAGTATGGTAAGAAGCCGGATATTTTGTATAAATTTGTTGATAATTTAAGTGAACACAAATAACTTTAACTATATCATGTATTTTTCAATATATTGATATCCATATAAGCGCGTGCAAATTGAGGCAATTGCATGATATGCAAAAACATGCAATTAATTCTGGCCATCATTAAGAAATTAAATCATAACTTTGGCCAAAACATGCATGTGCATGTGCATGCTAAAATGAAAATTTTGTATTTTGCCCATCTCCAATTGGAGCCCTTCACAGCAAAAGGGGGGATGAGCCAAAAAAATTTAATATCTTGAAGAATTAGATTGTTTGGAATAAAATTATAAAACATCTAATTTTTTGGCCCATCCCCTTTTACTGTGGGGCCACACCATCGAGTAATGGCCCTGCATAAATTCAATAAATTATATTATAGAAGAACTATAAAAAAATTCAAGATGAATTTAATAAGAAATTGATTTAAAATTTTATTCAGAGATTGCAAAAACTTGTCCCGAATTAAATATTGAAGCCAATTATCAGATTGCATGGTATTATAAAATGCATAACAATTTCATAGAAGCACTGGAATTTGCAAACAAAATTCCTGAAGATTACAGAAATTTAAAATGATTGTGGCTAATTGCTATAAGAAAATTGGTTATGAAGAAGATGCTTTTAAACTCTATAAAGAAATTTCAAATAAAGATTTAAAAAAAGAAGAATTTGATAAAGTAGAACAACACTTTAGAGAGACAAATGAGTTCAAAAATGATCTTGGAATTTGGAAATATATTAAAATGAATATAAAAACTTATCTGAGATTGTAGATAAGAAAATCGAATACTATATTAGTTGTAGAAAAGCTAGGCAACAACTAATTACATAATGATTTTAAAAGATATGATCAAACATAATGCAAAAATTTTTATTAATAAAATGATCAATTAATATTAAGCGATAAGAAAAACTGGTAAATTATGCGTATATTATTATAATATTGTAATATAAAATAATTAATTTGATTTTTTTATGACCGAATTGATAAGTTTTTATGTCTCCAACATCAGTAACTTATTGATTCCGACTCGGTAACTTATTGATTTGGCCATCATAAAAATTTTCAGATGTCTCAAAAATAATGGAAACAGCTATAATAGCGGCCAAATTTTTATTTACATATAAGCTTTAAATTGTAACAGCTCTTAATTTAAATATAAAATTAAAAAATTAATTACAGTTTACCCGGTATGCATAGTAGACAAATTTTACATCCGATTTAAAAGGTTATCAGGTTTAAGAGGTTAAATTACTATATTTGAAACAGACTTGGTGAATCAATTTTTCATCGATTTTGACAGGTTATCGGTTTTAACAGGATCGGTGTTGACAGGTTATACTGTAATCCATTAGCATCGCGTGATATTTTTATCTCAAAGGTAATGTAAAATTAATGGATGAATTGTGATACTCTAAAAAAAGATTTAAAATTCGAACTGCCTGTAAGAGTCATGGCAGTTAACTAAGAGATTGTCTCTTTTGAATAATACAATATCGATATCAAGTGAATTTTTGTTCAAAAGTTCAAATGTGCGTCTGGTTGTTATTGTGTCTCATTTAGGAAATTCTTGTGAAAAATAAATCTGTTTACAATTATTAATTTTTTAAAAAATCAAAAAACTTTTCGGTTTGTCTTTTTTTATGACACTAGTTAGATAATCAAATTGGTACAGAATTTTTTACTAAGTGTCGATCAATTTCTGCATTGAGTACAATTATAAAAAAAAAATTTTATAATTCATATGATCAATATATTAGGTAAATTTCAGGTTATTTTCGTTATTTTTTCAAGAATTTTTCCCAAGTTCAGAGGATACCTTTGCTTTTTTTTTATATATTTAAAAAAATTAGGTATGTTATATTTATTTTTTAACTCCTCATTTTATTAATTACAATGCCCAAAGCGATCAATTCTACTGATATCAAATCGTATGTTTTTAAAGGAAATGAATTTGAAGACAAAGTCTGTTATAAACTGATTTTGCTGGACATGGGAGTAAACAAATCAAAGTAAGAATTTATCTGTTCACTTTGCTTTAAAAATAACCACAGTACTTATGATTGCAAATTTAAAAAAGCATTAGAAATCGAGTAAGAAAAATTTAGATGTGAGAAATGTTCTAGAAAATGTAAACCAATATATCATTATAAGGGTGAATGATGTCCTTTAGAATGGAATAATGAATGGACAAATAATTTTGTGGAAATTGATTTTTAAATTTTATTACTTAAATTATTAGTAAATAATTCCTGTTAAAATATCTTTAATAATTTCTTTTTCTTTATCATCAATACTATTTCTAATATAGAAAATAATATCATAAATAGAAAAAAGAATAAAAATTGACATACCAAAAATAATAAAAATAATAATTGGAATTGTAAAATAATCATCGCCAATTTGTTCTTGAAAGAATTCATTAATCAAGATTTTTGGTAATTCAAAAATGCAAAGTGATTATAAAAATCTTAAGTTTACCATAAACTTCATCGCGAAAATGAGAATTCTCAAGGCTAAAGAATTCTTTGATAGGAATTCCATAAGTTGCGTTGTAATTATTGTTAGGCATTTTTTGTTATTGCCAATAAAATATGTTTTTATTTTGGCCATTCCATGTTTGTGGAAGATGTTTTGCTTGCTCTAAACTTTTATATCATTAACCATTTTTTTGAATGGAATAAAGTATTATTCAACATTTTTTAACCACTTATTTCGTT